GGCGCAGCAGCTGCTCTCCAGCCTGCAGGAGACGCTGCTGTTCAATGACTTTCCTCATTGAAATAAGGTCAGACCAACTTTTATATCTATATAAATAACATGGAGAGAAATATCAGCTGTGCTGCTGCCATCAAATCCTTTGTTTACAGATGATGGAGATCGGCCTGTTTTTGAGTGTAGTCCTGTTTCTCTGACTGTGACTAACTGGATGTGCTTTTTTGTCCTCTGACTTTGGAAACTGGCTCGGAGCTCGTCTGCCTGGCTGTGTGTTTCCTGGACGGGGCCGCCTGTGGAGCTCGTTGACAGTTGCCTTTTGTATCTATGCTTCTTTTTCTATGTCTGCTTCTGTCTCCTTGAACCCCAGTCGGCTTCAGCAGATGGCGGCTCACACTGAGCCTCGTTCTGCTGGAGGTTTCTTCCTGTTAAAAGGAAGTTTTTCCTCTCCACTGTCGCTACAAGCATGCTTAGTGTGAGGGGTTGCTGAAGAGTCAATGAGTCGATGCAATCAACTGGTTTTTCTTGGACAGAAAACTTTGAATAAATCTGATTGTATGATCTGGTTGAACTGGAAAGTGTCTTGAGATGACGTGTTGTGAACTGGCGCTATATAAATAAACTGGATTGAACTGAATAAAAAAGCGCTTTGCTTGCAGGGACATCCTGGACAGAATATTCCAGTCATGTTGGGGTGGGCCTCTGCCTCTGCGATTTGTTGTTTACACACTAACCTTCATAACAGCCACTGAACAACAGTTTCCTCTCATTACTGATCGAACTTTTAAGGTTACAGCTACTCGCTCTGCTGCAGCATTTCTTCACCGTTTGCCAGGTCTGCTAATGCTAACCAAACCAATTCAGTTCAGAAGGAAAGTGGAAACTTCAGTGCCTCCTGAGCTCCTTTGCTCACTGAAGTCAGCACCGACTCTCAAACTCTTTACCGATCTTACCCTCATTTGATAATTTATTGTTTTTAGTTGGAATCTGAGAAATGGAGGCCGTTTTCCAGGCTCCCTATTAGGAGACTTCAACCTACTACTCCTGTTGAAGCCTTCATGTTGAGGTTGGCATCATAACCTGAAGCAAATATTTAAACATCTTTGACCTGCTAAAATCATAAAAACAATTACTTCTATAACCTTTTCCACAGTAAAACAAAACCCTTTAATTCTCCAACACTCTAGAAGCTCCATAGAAGCACATTTTAATGAAAAGGTTGTAGCTCTGTCCTTTAATATTCAACTCTTGTAAACCAGGAGCTTCTTAAATAACAAGTTACATTTTGTTTTTCTAAAAAGACCAAAGCCTGATGCAGAAGAATGTTGTGGACAGGTGGTTAGAATCCAACAGCTGGTAATGTGGAGACATTGAAGTTCACCACATTTTAAGACCCTGCAGGAATCCGGGTTGTGAACTTTCTGGATTCAAAGGGAAGCAGCTCTGAAGAGTCGGGCATTAAACATGTATGAGCGTGGAAGATGCTCCACACTAGATTATCTGTGAAATCCCAGGAATCTTGTTTATGGCACTGGGACGCATGGAAAGGGCGGTCTCCCTCCCCGTTGATCTGATGGTGGAGGAGGGATCCTGCAGTCATCAGAGCACCCAGGCTCAACATTTATTGATTCATAATTCAATTTCACAGCAGCCTCCATGAATCCCAGGCATTCAGCTTAGAAGACTGCATTAGACACGTAATTAATTTCCTTGTTTAGCTGCTGGAGCGGAGAAAAAATCCAGCCGAGCTTTGAAACAAAGGAAAATATGAAGCGATGGTTACCATGGCAAAGCCAACATCAGCTTTCTTGAGGGCGGGGCCGTCGTTAGTGCCGTCTCCAGTCACCGCCACCACCTGTCGTGTTTCTCCCACCGTGCTGTCGATGATGCCTGATCGGCAGAGGGGAACAGAACCAATCTGTGTCAGTGAGCGTGAAAACGGTGGGTTCTCAGCAGCTGCAGCAGGAGGCGCTCACCTTTAACCAGAGTGTGTTTGTCTGTCGGCGACGACCGAGCCAGAACTCGCAGTTTGGGCCAAACCTTGTCCAGACGTTCTTGTTCAACCTAAAAAGACAGAATCAATG